GACATTAATTTATTTTCTGATACTTCCATTCATCATTTCTTTAAAATTCTAAGGAACAATATGAAAAAAATTGTTATATGCCTGCCAAGTGGGCAGGCTGAGGTGTGGGAGGGAACCTGGGGACATTGATGGTGGGATTAGTGTCTGAACATTGTGCACCTGAAACAACTCCACTATGAACAGCTTTGTAAACCATGATGTTTTAATCACGATCACAATCACGATCGTCCTGTTGTTCGTCGATTGCCTCGAGCAGGCACCAGTGAAGTCTCCTTGGCCCTAGCCCTGAGATTTTAAAAAGTGCCATATTCAAGGCTCTTTCAGGGTCAGGAGAATGAGACCCATCATTGTTACTGGTATTTGGCATATTTGGTACACCACGGGGAGTTTGCCAAACTCTGCTGTGTGGGCAGGTTACATTCAGTAGCCTGCCAGGTTGTTCAAGTAAGAATGAAATAATAAGATGTCGCCCGGCCGTGATGTGCTTCCAGGAGCTGGGTTTTATAGTCTCTGGGTCTTGGCCATTGATGGGGTTACACGGTGCCGGGGCGGGGGGGTGGGCAGTTGGTGGGTGTGATCCCTGCCTACTGGAGGATGGAGGATCTGGGTGGAGGATGCTCAGCCCCGATCTGAGCAGGCTTGTAGATCTCCGGGACCCCGCATGCCTTTGTTCCTCTGCCGGTACCTTCATGCGTGTGGAGAATGGTCTCAGCATGGTTGTGGCTTGGCCTGGTTGGTGACAGGCCTCTCTTTTCATGTTCCACTTTCCATATGTCATACCAAAAACTCCTGAGAGCCAGGAAACCAAACACCAGGATTTCTCAACACCACACTATAGCTTTATTTTTATTTTGTTTTGTTTTGGGTCACACCAATGATGCTCAGGGGTTACTCCTGGCTCTGCAGTCAGGAATTACTCGTGGTGGTGCTCAGGAGACCATGTGGGATGCCAAGAATCAAACCCTGGTTGGACATGTGCAAGGCAAGCACTTTCTTTCTGTACAAAGGCTCTGGTCCCAACACTATGGCTTTCTGGACAGGATAATTATGATTGATGGGTGTGTGTGTGTGTGTGTGTGAGAGAGAGAGAGAGAGAGAGAGAGAGAGAGAGAGGAGAGAGAGAGACAGACAGACAGAGACAGAGAGAGACAGAGAGAGGAGAGTGTGCATGGTGATGGTGGTAGTATGGGGTTGAGGGAAGGGTGTTGGTTCATACTCAGTGGTGCTCAGGGGTACTCCTTGAGTTCTGCAGTCAGGTGTCACTCCTAGATGTGTGCTTGGGTTGCAACTGAAGTGATCAGGGGACCATACAGTAATGCTGGGCATGGAACCGGTCTTGGCCTCATGCAAGACAAGCTTTGTGCCTCACTTGGGCCTGGACAGAGTTATTTTTTGAGCTGTAGGACTCTCGTGCATATTAGGACGATGCACGCATCCCTGACCCCTGCCCACTGGAGATCAGTAACACTCGTCCCCCCAATAGAGAAACAGAAATTTCTCCAGAGCCCGGGAAATAGTCCATAAGCTGAGGAACATGCTTTGCTTGCAGGAGTTCAATCTCCTAAGCGCTTCCAGGTACGATCCAGTAACACAGAACCAGGAATAGTTTTCCCAAATACTGTTAGATGTGGCTCCCAAACAAATCTAAAAACAATTTCTCTGAACACAGCGAAATATCTATCTCCTAGGATAGAGAATCCCCTTCCTCTGAGAAGAGCAGAGCTTCACTGTGCCTGCTGGCCTTCCTCTACCTAACCCCGCTGGAGTCAGAGGCCAGTGAGGGTGCAGATCATTAATGGCAGCTTTAGCTGGGCCTGGTAGAAGAAAGGCTTCCGCAAGGCCAAGACTTCGCAATGTTCAGCGGAGGGAGAACAAACATACCAGAGGACTGACTGATGTGTCTCACTCAGGAGGGAGGGAGTTATCCAGAACAATCATTCTCGGATTCCCAATAAGTCATAATAGCTTTGGGGCAGGCAGCCCCCGTTTCCGAGAACAAGCAGAAGCAGGTGTGGGAGTGGTGGATTGGGGGTACAGGGGGCAGTTTTTCCCTATAAATATTTTCCTGGCAGGAGTGACTGCTCCTCTCTGGTTGGTTGAGGAGTGGAAAGGAGGAGTCTCCCAGGATTCTTGGAGGCCATTTGTAGCTAGGATCCTGGGGGTGTTTGGAGTTTCAGGATCTGAGAGACTGAAATATGGGGATCTCTGATTCTTTTTCCCAAGGGAAGCAGAAGTTGTGGGTGTGTATTTCTTTAATCTGGAAGTTGGGGGTGGTCATCGTCTTTACAGGTCATCTTTTGCTTCAAGGTATCTGGACCTGGGGATAGACAGAGGCTAGGAGGCCAGGGGAGGGGGTCAGGGTGGGAAGTGGGGAGGCCGAAGGATGGATGGAAGACAGTACCAGAGCTGGTGAGGCTTTTGTCTGCCCTTCTGCCCCAACTCACTCTATCAGGAGGGTGACAACACCTAGGAACAGTGCAGCTGTGAAGACAGAAAGAAGCAGAATTCTTGCTTCCCAAAGATCATGGCTTCCTGCAGAGAGCCGAAGAGAACAAAATTGACTCTGAGTACTACATTTGTGGGCATTTGGGGAGCTTCAGTGTCAGATATCAGAGCGGGGTGAGGTGGGGGTGGGAAAGAAGGACCTGGGAAGCAGCGTTTTCGGGGCCAACAGTACACCTCCAAGCTCTCACAGGTGGAACAGTTGTACAGGATGGTGCTGCCCCCTGCAGGAGACAGTGAGAACAGGGCGGGGGAAGGGACAGCCAGGCTTCGCCCCGCCTGCTACCTCACTTCCTCCCCCGCGCAGCGCCTCGGAAGATCCACTGCAGATACCCAGAGGCCCTGGAGCTTGTCCCCAGCCCGTTCCTTTTCTACTCACGGCAAGCAGGAGCACAGAGCGCTGAAATGAAACAGGAGATGAAGTAGCATATCCACACCCCTTTTGCTGGCGATCTAAGTACTCCTGGCCGCCTCCCACATAAATACCTTCCCTGGTGTACTCTGGGAACTTGGTCTTTTGAAGCCATTGCCAGTATTTCAGGAGTGAGGACAGAGAGCCTTTGATCTCTGGGGAGAGGAGGAATAGTTTTGCCGCCTGGGGCTTCAACAGTTCAGGTTCACTTCCCTGCTTCCCCCCTCAACCTCCCCATCCCCTCAGGTCTCTGCCTTCCCTCCTTCCCTTCCTCCACAGCCTCCAGACTGTGCCACTGGAGCTCACCGATGACCCTCAGGACTCTGTGTGTCTTCTCTGTGACTTTGTTCATGGTCACCTCATCTATGGAGAAGGGCGAGGAACTGCAATGTCCTTACCAGCCCAAGGGGTCTTTTCCAGTTCTACAGCAGCTCTCCGAGGAGAGGATAAAGTGCCAGGTGAAGGGCACACAGCTGGGAGCCACATGTGGCTCTGCTTGGGCCACAGGACGACCGACCCCGGCTGGGTCTGTCTCTCAACGTGCCTTTGGCTCACCTAAAGCAAAAGCTGTGAAGTTCCACGAGGCCTCACAGTCCTTCCACTGGACCTCCATCTGGCTGCAGAGCTGAGCCAGGCGGCCTGGTAAGTCTCGGGCTGGGAGGTGGCAAAAGATGCAGGCCTGGGAGGCTGCCAAAAAAAGTCCTCCTACTGCCAGCATCCACATGAGACCCACTAGGGGATCATCTAGGACTGGCCCACCGAGGCTGAGAAGTCTCAGAATGCTGTATCCTGGTTCCAGACCTTGGCTTGGCAGTTCTAGAGTGTTTCAGAATGATGCCACTGATCCATCCTTGACAGGGGTAAAGTTGTCGCCCAAGGAACTGAGGGACAGATGACACTTTTCAGCAGGTCATGAAGAGAGGAACATTGTTTCCACTGAACAGCACCCCCAACCCTCAGCAGCCTTTACAAGTTTGTTTCCAAAAGCAATTTTATTTTCCTTCTTGTAAATCATGACCAATGGTAAATGACTCCCCAGTGAAGAATTTTGAGCGGTTATCAGTAGCCCATCCCCTCAGAGACCCAGAAATCCTCTCTCTGCTCTCTCCCAAACTATTTCCTCTCTGCCCTGTGCAGCTTTTTTGTTTGTTCTATTTTGGGGGCCACAATGGACAGTGCTCAGGGCGTACTTCTGGCTCTATACTCAGGGATCACTCCTGGCAGGCTTGGGGGACTATTTGGGGTTTAGAGATCAAACCTGGGTCATCTGTGTGCAAGGGAAGCACCCTACTCACTGTATAATCTCTCAAGCCCTGCTGTGCAGCCTTGGGCCTTCTCCAGTTATCTCTAAGTAACAGAACTATGTTGCCAAGCAACCAAAAGTTCCATACAGGCCTCCAAGGCTAAGCCCAGTAGCTTCTCTTATCTCTCACCAGGGAGATCCTGGTGACTCAAACCCTATTAGGCATCTCCTGCTGATGATATGAATGCACACGCATGAATACACATAGACTCACCCCTTGTCAAGAAAGTTCTAATTCACCATCTACTCACAAACACACCTGGTACTAAAACAGTTGCCAGGCAACTCCAAACAGGTTCAGACAGGCAGACACCACAGAAAGACTGGCACAACAGACCCAGACCCAGCAAGGCTGGATTTGGTGAAGCCAGGATGTCAGGAACACACTTGGCTGGGAGGATAGGAGTATAGCCCAAGGGGCTGAGCTCCAGCTTCACATACAGAAGGCCTGGTTTTGATTCCTGGCACCACCTGGAGCAACCCCTGACCCCTGAACTGGCTCAGGTGTGGTTCAAACAAACAGAAAACTAGGTGCACTGGCTGAAGTGCATTAGAGGAAGTCAGGCCAGGACCCAAGATCTACATTCCTCTCCACAGCCACTCCCCTTCAGAATCCTGTCAAACAGCTGGGCATTTCAGCAGGATGCTACAACCCCATAGTTAAAATGAAGGGATTCTCCCAGGTGCCAATGCCAACCTAGAGTGGGGGTGTAGGTAGTTTTTCTGTCTCCCTCAGCACATGGTTTGGACACAGCGAAGAATCCCTTTCCCCATGTTCCAGAGTATTTTGACCTTCCAGTGGTCAGGCCCGGCCAGGTAACCCAGCTCCGGCAGAAGCCATAGTCCAAGAGGCCCAAATGCCCTTTTTCTCCAACCTCAGAATCTCTCCGGGCTCCTCTAAGCCTAAAGGGGAGCCTCGACTACTGAACGCCAACCAAGGAAAGGCAGTCCTCCTAGGATTAGTACCAGTCCCGACCCCCTTGGACCACTTGTGAGCCCCTGGTGGGCTCAGGTTGGGGGATTCCTGTCCACATCTGGTGCAATGGAGTCTCCGGTTTCCAGCTCCCAGGGCAGAGCTAGGAAGAGGCGTCAGGGGAGATATTATTGCTTTTGCTTCCCATCACTCGCCCCCCCCCCCCCCCCAGCCCCTGAATCAAACTAAAGGCAGTGTTCTCAGTGCCGGACAAAGCGCAGAGATCTGGAGTTGAGCAGATCTTCAGGGTCAGGGAAGACTGAGTCCAGGCGGAAATTGTGCTCCAGAGCCACTCTCAGTACCTCCTCCAGAAAGCCTGGCGTGCCCACAACTTCCCGTTTCTCTCCTGGCCCACCAATCCACAGTGGCTGCAGCCCCAGTCTCCTATATTCCGCCTCAGGGAGTTCTGTGGGGTGGGGAGCCCACTCCAGCCGAAAGTGTGGGCCTCCCTCTGCTCTGTCCTCATTGGCCACACCAAATCGGGCCCGCAAGGCCCCCAGACACTCGGGGTCGGTGCAGAAGAGATTGGCTCGGAAGGTGTTCACCTGCACAGAACTCAGCTCATAGTGGTGTGGGCCCTTGCGCGCAGAGAAGTGTACCAGGCGTGGGCTGGTGTCCACATCTGCATGGAGAAGGGCGGCTGTGGGTGTCGGTGTCCCCCGAGAGGCTTCCAGTTCCCGAAGGGCATCCAGAAGGGGCTGAATCTGGTAGAAATCAGCCTCTGCCCTGAGCAGCGCTGTTTCCCCATATCCCCGGGGCAGGTCAAGGCGGCCCAGTCGCAGAAAATTGAGAATGTGCCGGAAGGCCTTGCCATCCCTGTCGATGAAGTAGTGGCCTCCCTGAGGGTTGAGGTTGGGGTGCAGGGGAGTGCCAGCCCTAAACATGGCACCCAGCATGGAGTCTGGGAAGCGAGTCAGGGTCTCCAAAGTGGTGGAATAGAGCGTGCCCCCCACATTCAGGGTCACGGGGCCCCCAAAGGAGGGGGGCGGAGAGGGCACAGGAGGAGGAGAAATTTTGGGGCGTGTAGGAGACACTGAAAGAGAAAAAGTAAAATTTCTGGAGTGTGCTCCTGGGATGTTAAGGTTCAGACTGTCAGTTGAAGGCACAGGAAGGCGAACAAGCTGGCAAAACTTGGGATTCACCCCAGCTACTTGGTGGGGGCGGGCAGTTTCTGCTGAGAAACCTCAGAGGGTTGCGAGAACAGATGAAAAGAGCAGAGGGAAGCCAGAGAGGAAAGATCCAGACTTAGTCTATGCTGAGATTTCTGCGGGCTTCAGACAGAGTGGGTTTCTGGAATCCAACCAGCAGGTGACGGTGGCGAGCACCAGGCCGACCCCTTTCAAGAGGCCCCGGCTTCCGAGCTCTCGGGCAGGTCCCAGTGGCCTGGGGTCAGCGTCCGCAGCGCCCTGGCGGCCGGGAGAGGCCTGGCTGGCTCCGGCGCGGGTCCGGGGAGCCGGAGGTGCTGTCGACGGGCGCCGATCGTGGAACGCTTCGGAGTCGCCAGGGGAGTGACGCCGCACCCTCGATCCGAGCCGGCGGGGCCTGAAGACTTGGCTGGAAGCAGTCGGGAGCCGCGGAGTCGGGAGCCGCCGCCTGGGTCGGGAGTCGCCGCGGCGCCGCAGTCCTCTCCGCCCCCAGGAAGTGGCCTCAGGACAGCGCCCCCCGCCCCCGGCCCTTTAAGAGGCGGCTCCGCCCCGGCCCCGCCCCCCGCCCCCGCGGCCCGGGGAGACGGGAGCCGCGGGACGCCGAGGCCGGGGACCGGGCCGACGGGCTGGACGGGCTGGCGCGAGCGGGGGTGCGCTCCGGAAGGTGACTCAGGCCCCCGGGTGTGCCCGAGCGCACGTCTGCAGCCCGCCGGGTCCGAGTCTCCCCTCCCGGCGTGCAGCAACCGCCCGCACCGGCCCTCCGAGCCCTGGGGCGCCCGCTGCCCCCGCATCCCCGGCGCGCCCGTCGGGAATTCCTAAGGGGGCGGGCGCTGAGCCGCCGCATTCCCGGGATGCCTGTGGGCCGGGGTGGCCTCCGTCAGCCCCTGGTCGGGTGCCCCGCGGAGGGCTGCCCGCCCGGCCACGTCACCTGGGCCCCAGCGCCCCCTCCCCACGAGTCGCGCCCGGCGTGACTCAAATTGGCAGAATCCAGCCCAGTGCTGGAGCGAAGGTGGCGCCTAATAAATGCACGCTGAAGGAAGCGCGAAGCACAGCGGGTTTAATGGACCGGGCGGCGGCCGCGGCCCGACTTAAAGCGTGTGGAGGTCGTGGTTCCGCCGGGTCAGCTTCTCGGGGTCGTCTGATGCCATGAGGGAGAAATCGCGAAAGATGTCCAGATAGGTCTCGTCTCCTGCTCGGAGGGAGAGCGGGCTGCGGTGACCTGGCGGCTGACTCAACTCAGAAGGGCCAGATGGGGTTCAGCGGCCGGCCATGCCCGGTCTTCCCCACCCTTGCCCATTCTTGGCCCCTTCCGAGGGCAAGAGGCGGCCCAGGCAGCGGGTTGAATAATGTGATTAGCACACCCATTGGGAAGCGCCCACATCACATCCCATGTCTGGTGCCTCACTTCTCTCCCTCTTGTGTCTGGGGTGGGGGAGGAGGGGAGACAGGTCTGAATGTGCTCAGGGTGTGATCCTGGCTCTGTGCTCAGGAATCACTCATGGCAGGGCAGGGGGACCATATGGGGCCTGCTGTGAGCACAGCAAGCACCTTCCCCCCATTACTATCTTCTCAGCCCACTTCTCTTTATGGGACTCCTTCCTCTCACATAATTAACCCACAAAGTAGGGAACAAGGGGAAGGTCATCAGGAGCCAGAAACCCAAAGTTAGTTGAACCGTGAAGGGATGGGTAGTTTACCTGCCTGGCCCTGGGCCACTTCAGCCTCTCTCATCTTTGCCAATCGCAACCTGACATGGAGGGAATTGAGAAGCAGATGTCATCCTCCTTATTGTCCACCCCCCACCCTCCCCCAAGTCCCATCCTTTGAGCTTGGATACTTTATTCATTTGTGTACCCAGTGTTGAGTCAAAAGATGCCTGAGGCAGATGTCGAGGTCTGAATGATGCCCTCTAATGAACTCACCTACATCCTCAGAGCCTGCATGCTCCCCTCCTTGCTCCAGACCTCAACAAACAGTAGGAGGACCCCTTCTCTCATCTGGTCCAGGCACTGCCCTGTCCCATTCCTTCCCAGGGGTCTTTTTTTCAGCGACCCCCAAGTGGAAAATGCAAGAATAATCCCACCCTTTTGGGGAATCTCACAGGGTAACGATGTCAGCATTGGCTGTTTCCATGGCGATGGTCAGTGGGTCCTTGCCTTCAGAATCTTGAGACCCCAAATCTGCTCCTCTTTTCAGGAACAGGCAGGCCAGGCTGGAAAGAACAGTCAGATTCAGGAACAGGAACAGAGAGCCTGGAGAGCCCTTACCCAGGGGCCTGCTGTTCCTACCCGGTGTGGCCAAGAATGGTTGCGTGGTGGAGTGGCCCTCTGCCACGACTGTCTGCTTGGTTCACGTTAGCCCCGTTCTGAAGGAGAAACTCACAGGCCAGAAGAGAATTCTGCATAAGGGGGTCAGAAAGGGGAAAGAGAGGGCCTCTTTAGAGATTTAAAAGGTTTTAGGGGCAGGAGAGAATACAGCAATTATGCAAACTGGTGACCTGGGTTTGATACCCAGCACTACATAAGATTCCTCAAGCTCTGCCAAAAGCAAATCGGGTGCAACCCAAAAACCCCACCTCCCCATCCCCAAAGTAAAATGTTTTAGGGCCATGGGGGAGGCCCAGCACATCATGGTTTCTTGAGTACCCAACTGGCAGTGGCCCCTGAGCACTGCTTGGTGAACAGCACCCCTTCACACCCCCAGACTGCTTGTTAGCCTTTTGACTATGTCAAGCTTAAATATGTTTTACAGTGGGGTCAGTTGGGTGTGGGTGTGTGAAAGAGCACAGCTAGGTGTCAAATTTTACTCTAGCTCTTTCCATATGCTAAAACTATAATATAAACTTGAGATATGCCATCCCTATTTTACAGATGAGGAAACTGAGGCATAAGAAGTTGATAACTAAGTGGCAAGTGCCTGGACTAAACCTAGACTAACCTACCTCCAGATCACACATGTTCAGCCACCTGTATCTATCAGTTATTCCCTAGGATTTGCAGGTTCCAGGGAGCAAGTGGGGTAAGGATAGATTAAGAACTGAGCCCAAACACAGAGTAGGGGTCAGGGAGAAGGAATCTTAGAATGAAATAAGGGAAGCCAGCAAGACACTCACAGCAGCTGTGGCCTGGATCAGCGGTGTGGCATTCTCTCGACCCCCATTGACCCAGTTGACATCTGCTCCATGGGCAAGAGCATCAGCCATGGTAGGAAGAGATGGAGGGGGCCCAGCAGCTCGAAACAGCAGGGCCCCAGGGTGCAGGGATTCCAGACCATCAGAAGGGGCTTCTGTTAGGAGGGGTCAGCTATTAGTCAAGGAAGAAATCCTTCAGCACAATTCTTCAAGGGGAGAAGTCATTTTTTAATTGTAAGGAGACCTTCCAGACCTAGGACTGTAGTGGGAGGAAAAACTCTGTGTGTGTGTGTGTCCTGAGGTGTGGGGACAGCCAATATCATGTGTCACCTCTTCCTGTCCAACTACCCTAACTAGCTGGGATAGCACCTGTGAGGTGACTCCCTGCGTAGTCTCAGCTGCCTATGAAGCTCCCTCTGCTCATACTCTATAGAGACCTTGGGAAACCCTAACCTTAGTAAAGGAATTTCTTTTCTTTCTTTCTTCTTCTTCTTCTTCTTTTTTTTTTTTTTAACTTTTGGGTCACACCTGGTGATGCTCAGGGATTACTCCTGGCTGGAGTAATCTGGTTACTCAGGGATGCTGGGGACTGAACTCAGACTAGCCACGTACAAGGCAAATAGTACAGCTCTACTCGTTATACTATCGCTCCGACCCCGCATTCTTGTTCTTAATCAACTTTTCTCACACAGTTGAAATTCCTGAGTAGTCCTCCCTATCTAATCACAGGCCCATAGTTCTTCATAAGTCCCAAGACACTTCAAAGAGAAAAGAGTTTTGGGATCTCAGGGGCAGTACACATAGCTTGCCTCAGGGCTGGAGAGATTGTACAGTGAGTACTACAATGGATTGTGTTGTGTTTGCCTTGCATGCAGCTGACCCAGGTTCAAAGCCCAGCATGCCATATGGTCTCCTGAGCACCACCAGAAGTGATCCTTGAGCAGAGAGCCAGGAGTAAGCAGCCCTGAGTACCATTGGGTGTGGCCCCTCCAAAAAACAAAACAAAAACAGCTTGCCTTGCATGCATCCGAAACAAGTTTGATCATGTAAGTTTGATCTGCATCACATATGGAACCCCTGAGCCATACCATAAGTGATTCCTGAGCACAGAGCCAGGTGTAAGCCCCAAGCTTATCTGGGTGTCACCTTTCCCAAAATTGTGTGTCCATAACTGTTGGCACTCAGGAACTACTTCCAGACATGCTAGGAGGAAGTATTAAGTGTTGGGGTCACACTAGGGTCATTTCCTCCAGCTCTCGCCATGCAATCTATTTCTTTGATCTATTTCCCTGGCACCAAAACCTAAAATTCTTACTCTAGAAAGTCAGTGTGGGCTGAAGCAGTATTTCAATGGGCTGGAGCGCATGCTTTGCATGCAGGAAGCCCAGTTCAATCCTAGCACTTCATGTTCCCTTGGGCACTGCTAAGAGTGATTCCTGAGCCAGTAGTTCCCTGAGCACTGCTGGGTGTGTCCCCCACATCTGGCTCCCCCTCACACAAAAGACCAGTGTGATTCAGCTCCTGCAACATACTCAGTTGTCTCACCCAACTCAGCATGGTGCTGAGTATGTGCGACAGAGAATCACTGAGCAAATGAATAGCTAACCAGTCTTATACCTGGTTTGGATTTGAACCTTCCTGGCTGGGGTTTCATGGAAGGTTTTGGGGGCACAGGAGGGTATCCTCGTGGGGTCCCCTGGCCACTTCTTCGCCCTCGAATCTCAGGAAGCTTTGTCAGAAACTTCTTTTCCACATATTTGGCATGAATCCAAGCCTCCTTCTCCTGCCTAGGATGTGAGAGGAGGAAGAGAAGGGAACAGAATAGAGTTTCCCTTCCCATCCCTACTGTTTTCTCCCAGAAAGTAGAACAGCCTTGGTTCTTCCACCCCATCCTCACCGGGAGCAGGTGGGCCCTGGCTTCTTCACTGCCATGGCCTCCACACGGGCCTCATAGATCTGGTTGATCACGACATTTCCCAGTTCACACATCAGCTTCAGGCAGCCAATGAGGACGTAGAGGCAAGGGACAGGCAGATTGGAAAGTGCAGAAGAGAGGTTAGTGTCTGTCCTTATCTCTATCCCCGCCACACTCAATCTTCCGGATACCCCAAGTCACCTTCACTAGTTCTGGCTCCCATGAGTCAAGGGTCAGAGAACGCACTTTGGAGAAATGAACGCCAAGGCTCCTGGAGGACCAGAGTAGGAGTCAGGGGATATGCTGTTGCTCCGGAAGACTTGGGGAAAGGTCCTCCACGCACACTGTGCAGCAGTGCTGGGCAGCTAGAGCCAACCTGCCTGGCTTGGGCACCATCCTGTTTTCTTATTTCTTTTCCTCTCGTTTTTCCTCTGAATTTCACATTGAGGCCCTGTCTTCCCTTGCCACTCCCTTCACTCATGATATTTTGGTCTGGACAACTCTTTCCATACCATTCTCCTTCTTTCCTTCCACCAACCAGGCCACCAACAGCAGATAGACCTGTTTAGGCTTCATGGCCTCTTCTTTCTTCACTCTCCATCCTCAGGTCCCACATCTCTTTCTACACTTCTGCTGGTCAAGCAAATATACTCCTTGGGGTGTACCCAACCCTGGCTAGACCAGGACATTTAACAGGCAGGCTCCCTGGGGCCTCTTTATTAACTGCTACCACCCATTCCCTGACAAGCTCTGCCCAAGCCTGTGCTCAGATGGTCATTAAGACCTACGAGAGAAAGCCAGGGCAGGGTGAGTGGCAGTGAGGCTGGGAATGGAGCCTATCTCAGGTCCTATTCCTGAACACCATGACCAGAGGACTGGGGCTTGCTTGGGGCCTTGGGCAATGACCTGTGGATGCCGGAGCACTGAATGCAGAGGGTGACACCAAGGTTGATGCTGGCCCATTCAGGCGCTGGTTCCCGGCAGTCACAGCACTGGGCGTTGCCATCCACACTCTGCACTTGTGCTGCCACAGGCCCACTTCCCCCACGCTCCCTTCCCCTAGTCACACCACCACAGCCCATGGTGGCAGCAGAGCCCATGGCCGGGTGTCCTGAGCCCTGGAGGAGAGAGGGGAAGAAAGAGTGGCTCTGAGGTTTGGAAGAAGGGTACCCCCTTTCTCCGTGTCTCTGTACCCCCATGTTACAGTACCTGGCCTGAACTCTGGGGGCTGTTCTCGAGGTGAGCCTGACTAAAGGCGGTGGCAATGCTGCTTTGCACGGCACTGACCCACAACTGAAGGAGGCGCTCCGAGTCAGCTTGGAGGAGGCAGGACCTTGCAGGAACATGGACAGAGAGAAGGAGAGGGGCTGAGGCCTAGGAAACACTGAGGCAGGAGCTGCAGGCTACTATCAACTGGTCTTCAACTGCTACCAGTCATACTGCAATATGTCTGCTCTAGGGCCTGAGAGATAGTACAGGAGTTAAGGCACTTGCTTGCGTGTGGCCAACCCTGGTTTGATCTCCGGTACCACGTGAAATCCCCTGTGCACTACTGAACACAGATGCAGGACAAGCCCATGAGCGTAGCAGGGTATGGCACCAAAACACAGCTACAACCCCTACCTCCACCCCTACACAAACAAAGACTTTCATAGGGTCAAAGAAACAGTACAGAGGTTAAGGTTTTTGCCTTATGTCCTGCGAAACCCAGTTCAAACTACTGGTATCATATATGGTCCCCTGGGTACTGTGGCCCATAATCCAAAAGCAAAACAACAAACCCACGTTTGTACCAAGAGGAATAGACCTCTCTAAATACCTCTCCCACCACCCTCTATCCCCCCTCTAGTTGGGCCTATAATCCAGCCAGCAAGGGTTGATGCCTGGAGCTACATAGGTTTCCTTCAAGCCCCTGCTCTTGGGATGTCTCTGTGATTGACCCATTTTTCCAACTGGTCAGTATTTGGACATATTTGGAGCATCACCCCCCAGGGACTGTACTCACTTGCTAGGGGATACCACCTCAAAGCAAAACCGCCTTTCTAAATCCGGGCAGAGCTTCACTGTGCAGAGACGAAGGTCATCAACTACCACAGTCACAGGATCCTGGGAGAGGAAGGGGATAAAAGACCAAGAGATCCAGTCAAGCTGCAACAATGACTAAATGTCCCTAGATTCAGGTTTCCATAACTGAGTGCACCTACCCTGTACTTCTTCTGGTAGACCAGTTGGTTGCTCTGAATGGTGAACCAGCGTCTGAAGAAAATGGAAAAGAAATTATGGATGTGGGCAGCACTGGGATGAGACTTGGGGCAGGAAGAGCAGAGATGCTTGCTTTTTTTTTCCCCCATAAAGATTTTGCTAAGAGGAGAGAGACCTGAGCTGAGTTCCTACGAGTTATTTCAAAAGACAGTGGAGAATTGGACAGACCAGGACACGGAAGCAGTGCTGAACATTTTGGACAACTCAATAGATGGAAAGACAACTTTCCAGGAGATGGCAGTAAAATGCTTTCTCATAAAATAGCTCTATTACTACTTTTTGTGTGTGGGGAACGTGTTCTGCTTATTTGTACACAGTTCCCATTTGGGATGACATTAACCCTGTAAGGGGAAGGAACTGAATCACAGCAGACCCCCACCCTACTCCACACCCTGCAGTGGCTCCTCACTTCCCTTAGAGGAAAAGTCAAGTTCTTACAGGAGTTGACAAGGCCCAATCATGACTCACACTCAATTAGCTCCAATTTTATCTCCTATTTCCTTCCTCAACTCCCATTCTGTATATACCCACGGTTCCTTCAACATAGCAGGCACTAGAACATTCTTATCCCTTTTGCCTTTCTTTTCTGTTTTTTTTCTTTGGGGCACCCCTGGCTGTACTCAGAACTTAGTCCTGGCTGTGCTCAGGGATCACTTCTGGTGGGGCTTGGGAGGCCCTGTGGGGTGCCTGGTATCAAACCAAGGTCAGCTGTGTGCAAGGCAAGTACCTTACACGCTGTACTATCTTTCTGCTCCTCCACATTTGTTTTTCAAGGTTTTACTTAGAAGCCTTATTATTAGGCCATACTAACTACACTGTTTAAAATTTTGGTGATTTAATGAAAAGGGGGGGAAATAAAATAAAATTAATGGGGCTAGTGATGGTACAGAGGATAGGGCGCTTGCCTTGCTAAATGGCTGACCCAGGTTTGATCCAGCATCCTATATGGATCCCCAAGAATGCCCAGGAGTAATTCCTGAGTGCAGAGCCAGGAGTAACACCTGAGAGTCACTGGTTATGACCAAAAACTTAAAAAAAATCAATTAATTAAATTAAAAACCAAGGTCAGGGAGATAAATCAAGGCTTTGGATGGAGTTCATGTTTGGCATGAACAGGGCCCCTGGTTCAATGACCCTCTCATCACTGCTGGGTGTAATTCTAGTGGCACCTGGCACTGCTGGGGAAGCCCTCCCCCACATACACGAACACACACAGATGGGGGCCAGAGCAATAGTACATTAGTTAGGGTGTTTGCCTTGCACATAACCAACCCAGGTTTACTCCCTGACACCCCATATGGTCCTGGGCCAGCCCGGAGTAATTTCTGAGTGTAGTGCCAGGAGCAAGTCCTGAGCACCACTGGGTGTGGCCTAAAATGAAAACAAACAAAAGAATTACAAACCCTTTCCTCACTGCCTACTTGCTTTCATCATATTTTTCCTATGACATATTTTGCCTTCTCACATAATGTATAATTTATTTGATTACCGTGTTCACGGTCTTCACTGATGATTTGCAGACTCTATGAATTTTGTTTTTCTTTGCTGGGTTGGGACACTATATAACCACTCCAAAATTGATGTAATTGACTGGGCTTGACAGATTGGGGTAACCCTCTCACCTGCTCCAGGTCTTAAATGCATTGCTGGCTCTTTTGAAGAGATGTCCTTCCATCACAGCACCACCAGGTCCTTCCCGCAGGCTTGGCTCTGGCTCTTCCCCACCAAGCTCCTGCGGGTACAAGAGGGTCAAGGAGCAAACGAAATGGCAGGGAACAAGGCTCCAGGCATGGCTTCTCCTGCCCGCAGTGCCAGCCCTCACCTTCTGCTTCAGCAGTACATGCCTCTGTTCCATGTCCCTCTTCTCGCGAGCTGAATTCAAGACCAGCTGGTGCAGCTGTGCATAGGAGGAGCATCTCAGTGGCCTGGCCTTCCTCCTCTCATTCATCTCAGAGCCTCGCTACTGTCTCTCTACCACATTTCCCACTTCCTGAAGCCCTACCTGGGCACCCAGCTCCTTGCGATACTGGGCCAACTGGCTCAGCTCCTCATGGCCCTGCTGGAAATGGGTCGCCTGGGCCTCCACCAAACGTAGCACCTGAGGGACAACGTGGGCAGGGGACACATATGAGGCAGCTCCCCTCTCCTCCTCCTTCTGACAGGTTCCTTCCCTCATTGCCTTCACCACCACTGCAACTCACAAACTCCATGATGTCAAACTTCCTTTTGTCCTCAATCACATTGACCTGAAAGCCCAAACAAACTTCAGTCAGTCTTTAAAACATGCTGGGGATTGCCCAGCCTCAAGATGGTAAGGCACTGGTGCCTCAGGAGGACCAGGGAGGGTGGTCACCTGCAGGGCATAGTCCAGTGCCCGTCCCCGGTACCCAGCTCGAGCAGCTTTCAAAGCTGATACTGCTTCCTCTGCTTCTTGGGTCCGGCGCCTGGGAACCTCTGCATTGTGAGTGAGAGCAGCCTCCAGGCTCTCAGCCCCCCGCCAGAAATCCCGACGAGCCTCTCGGAAGCCCCGGAGACCTCTGAAAGGTCGAGAGACAACACAGAGAGACTGACCCAGGTGGGCCAGATCACAAATGCCAGATTCACAGATTCACCCACTTGCCCCCCTCAGAGAAATCCTAGAAGGCCCACATAGGGCCTTTTGGACAGTCATACTCTCACTACTGCATAGTCAGAACCCGTAGGGAATTCTTGGGATGTGGAAACGATAGTCAAGCCACGGAAATGTCAATTCTCAACAATTCCTAAATCTAGGGAATATAGGAATTCCCATTTACTCTTCCTTCTGGCAATGAGAAAAGAATTGGAGGGCTGGCTTTTTTTTGTTAGTTTTATTTTGGGACCACACCTGGAGGTGTTTACAGCTTAATCCTGGCTCTGCACTCAGGAATGACTCCTGGCAGGTTTGGGTGAGCACATAGGGTGCCAGGGATCAAATCTGGGTTGACTGCATGCAAGGCAAGCACTCTACCAGCTATCCTATCACTCTGGCTCAGTGACTTATAAGGGGAAAAAGGTCCCTTTCCCTTCCAACTCACTCCTTGACCAGGTTTTGAATTTGCTGCTGCAGTGTGTGCTGGGTGGCATCCAGAAGCTCCTGAAGGGAAGCAGAAATTCACAAGGGAGATCAAGAACCTGGACCACCTTGCTCCCCTGCCAACCTACCCTCTGCCCCACTCACTGCGTGACTGTCTAGCTTGTGGCTCAGGCTCTCCGTGAATTTATCCAGACATTCCTAGACAAGAAGAGATAAGAGTGTTGACTGTCTGAGATAGCACTTCCTGCCCTGTTTGAGTGATACCTGCAGATCCCAGGCCAACCCTCCCCTTACACTGGCTCTCTTGGAATCCCAGACTCCACCCCCATTTGGGGCCCTCCACATACTGCCATCATGGGCTCTGGTGGACCCAGGTGGGCCAGATCACAAATGCCAGCAATAAAGGCACGGCCGGTGGCAAGGTAATGGCGCCCACTTTCCAGGAGTCCAGTGCCCAGCTTGAGGAGCTAGGAAGCAACAGGGGCAACAAAGGGAGTCATGATACATGCCACCAAATTCTCACTTCCTCATCTTCCCCAAGGCCACCTTCTCAACTTCACCTACATCTCTTTGTAGCTTAGTCCAGCTATCCTTTTTGTGTTTTTTTTTTTTTTTTGGTTTTGTTTTTGGGCCACACTGGAGATTCTCAAGGGTTATTCTGGCACTGCACTCATAAATTACTCCTAGTGGTGCTCAGGAAACCATATGGAATGCTGGGGTCAAACCCAGGTCGACCACGTGGAAACCAAATGCCTTACCCACTATACTATCATTCCGGACCCTAAAAATTTGTTTTGTTTGCTTTTTGGAGTCACACTGACAGTGCTCAGAAATCACTCCTAGAGCTGTGCTCAGAGGTTATACCTGGTGGGGCTTGGGGGAATATATGGGATGGTGGGGATAGAAGCTAGGTTGACTACCTATAAGACAAGTGCCCTATCTGATTTACTAACTCTCTGGACCCTATTTTCTGTTTCTAGTTCATACCTAGAAATACTCATACTCAAGGGCAACTCCTTGTTCGGTGCTCAGGGGTCATTTCTGGTTGTACTTAAGAGAACAAATGCAGTCCTGGGGATTGAGTCAGGACTGACTACATGTAAACCTTGTACTGTATCTCCAAGCCAAGTTCTTCATATCTTTTTGTTTTAATCTTGGGGTTAGGGTTGGGGCCACCCACACCTTGCTATGCTGAGAGCTTACTCTTGGCTCTGTGTTTGAGAGTCACTACTGTGACCCTGTGCTCAGGGACCCTACTGTGACCCTGGGGATTCGACTCTGGGATAGGTGCATGCAAGACAAGTGGCCCAGCCGCAGTATTATCTCTTTGAACCTGTGAAGTTGTTTTTTTTTGGGGGAGAGGGCACATCCAGAGGTGTTCAGGAGTACTCCTGGCTCTGCACACAGGAATTACTCCTGGCAGTGCTCAGGGGACCATATGGGATTCCAGGGATCAAATCCAGGTTGTCTGCATGCAAGGAAAGCATCCTATCCTACCTACTGTATTGTCACTCCAGCCCCTCTCCAAATTTCTAACTCACACCAGGTTTCTCATCTCTGCATCCTTGCTCCCACTGTTCTGTACCCAAACATTCCTTCTAGCCTATCACTAAAGCCATTATCAGCTTCAGTCTCCAAAATGTCCTTCTTTATCAACTCCCACACATCCCTCTACCCTACTTCAACTTCTTGGATCCAGAACTCCGATGCACTGTCTAGCTCACAGGAGGAATATTCGGCTTCATTGCTAAGTTTCTAGAGCAGTTACAATTTGTAATTGTATGCTGATTAATTGACCTCATAAATATTAATCAGTTGCCTAGACCACAGATCAGGAAAAAGAAAGCGTGCTAGAATGTACCTAGGGTTTTACCCCATCAGCTGACAGACAAGGCTTGATAAATAAGGGTATAGTGACTAAGGAGGGCACCACCAGGAGTGATCACTGAGCACTGAGCCCTGAGTACTACCAGGTGTGGCCCAAAGCCACACACACACAGTTTCTCTTGGCAAGCATTCTAGTATAGAAAAATAGACAAGAAAATAATTAGTAAGTAGGATATAAACATACTAATATACACTATGATTCACACCTTTGTATCATCTCTATCCCTTGCATGTGAGACTGTAAGTTGTTTCTCTTAGGGAAGGGTAGGGAGCATGACCAGCAGTGTTCTGAGGCTACATCTAGTGATACTCAGGGTATCATAAAGTGCTAAGGATCAAACCTAGGGCTCTCACATACCAAGCATGTGATTCAGGTCTTTGAGCCATCTCCTTGCACCCAACCACCCCCACTTTTTTTTTAACCAACAGGATTTGCCAAAGGAGCTGGCAAAGCACTCTGAGGTCCCCAGGATTAGGTTTTGCTACTATATAGCAAAGGCTCTGGAGGCCACTCTTATGATTTAAAACAATAGGTTAAATGCACCATCTTGTCAGCATATTCAAAAAATGAACCCCAGCTGTCCTTGAAACAGCAAGCTGTAATGATGTCAATTACTCGGGACAGACCACAGGACAGAGGATGAGGATGGCCACTAGGATATGAGGGTCTCAGTCCCACAGCAACAAAGAACTTTCTTTTTCTTTGTCCTTTCTGCTTATCCTTTTATTTATTTATTTTGGTTTTTGGGCCACATTCAGCGATGCACAGGGCATCACTCTGGCTCTGTGCTCAGAAATCACTCCTGGTGGTGTTAAGGAGACTAAACATAGTATGTTGCAAGAGACTGAACCCAGGTCAGGTGTGTGCAAGGCAAGTGCTCTAGCCCCTGTACAGTCTCTTTAGTACTTAGCGAGGATTTGAATCCTGCTATCTCATTATCTGAGAAACCACAGATGAAAATGTAGCCTTAGCCAAGACTTCATTTGTACCCTATGAGACCAGTCAAGCTGTGCCTGGCTCCTGACTTACAGAAACAATCACATACTGACCTCCAATATGTCTATGGGTCCATAGTTCTTGCTCTCCTGGATGTCCCCTACCAGCATATTAGGTCAAGAGCTGACCAAGTAGGGCTGGAGCTATAGTACAGCGTAGGGCGTTTGCCTTGCATGTGGCCGACCTGGGTTCAATCCCCAGCATCCCATATGGTCCCCTGAGCACCGCCAGGAGTAATTCCTGAGTGTAGAGCCAGGAGTAATCTCTGTGCAACATTGCATGTGACCCCAAAAAGAAAAAAAAAGCTGACCAAGTGAAGACCATTGTAAAAAATCAGGGCCGGAGAGATAGTACAGCAGATTAGGGTGTTTGCCTTGCACACAGCTGACCCGTGTTTGACCCTGACATCCCATATGGACCCCAAGCACTGCCAGGAGTAACTCCTGAGTGCAGATCTAGGAGGAAGCCCAGAGCATTGCCAGGTGTGACTCCCCCCACCCCCAAAAGAAAAGACCACTGTAAAAGTCTTATTTCTTGAGCTCCTTAAAGGTAGAAAACCACCTTTTTGATTCTTTGTAGCCTGCCAAAGGGCTATCCCCCCAAATAATTTTTCAGTAATCCCCTAGAATACTTTCTTTGTTTCTAACTTTCTTCCTGGCCCTGTATCTCTCATCTTAGCTCTTTTCTGAGTCACTTCTCTCTGTGCGAATCACCTTTTCCAGCCGGGTCTCCAATTCTGATACTTCAGCTTCCACCAATTCAATAGAGGCCCTAGGAAAGAAGGGATGAAGTCAATAGAACAGGGCTGGGGGTCTATCTGGTTCATAATGGTAGGGGGAGCTGGGGTAACGTGGGCATTTGGATTTAGGGCCTGCAAAGTTCAAACGTGATCACCCACTGCCATCTTCTACTGGCTCAATGCAGTGTGGGAGCTCTCAGGCCCAGGCCTGCCAGGAAGGGTAGAAGGAGGATGGCTGTGGTGAGAGCAGGAAGTTACTAACCGCCCAGAGCAGGTGCTGGGGGAGGGGCAGGCCTCTCAGTAAGAAAAAAGAGCGAATGCCAGCTCTAGGGGTAAAGTGAGGCTAAAGGAACCCCCTCCCTTGACACAAACATGCGCAAAGGGTAGCGGGTAGCAGAGCCTTGAGGTTGTTGGCAACGGGACTACTTCAGGCTCCATCTTGCCCCTTCATGACTCCTCCCTTTAAGAACATCTGGCTGGAGGAGGCTGTGTGTATGGAGGGGGTATCAGAACTGTCCCCCTCTACCCCCATACCTGTACATACTTACCGGAAGCGGGGTGAGTCTTTGAGACATTCCTCGAAATCCAGCTTGACTGTCATCTCAGCTAGACTGGTGACCCCCGGGGGTGGGGTAGGCATGCAGTGGGGAAGCAGGTGGAGGCACCCCTGTGCCTGGAGGAGCAGAGGTGAGGGAAAAGAGGGTCTTCTCCTGGGTAAAACCTGGGGAGGTGCAGTTCTCTCCCCAAGGGGAAGGGGGTCCTAGGAAGAGCTCGCACCCCACACTTTCAGGCAGTGCAAGAAGCAGAGGCGGGGCCTGAGCAGAGGCACCGGAGATCAGAGACCACAGCCCCGCCTTAGAACACCCTGTGCAGTTCCTCTGAAGATTCTAGTTTCTGCTCTCTCCTTTTGTGCGACTCTAGGGGGGCTGGCAGGTCCACAATGCCATGTGGCTTGTCTGTCACTGAGAAAGCTCTCTGATTTTATAGTCTCCCCATCTGGAAAATGGAAATGACAACCCCCTAACGCTAGGATTGTGGTGAGAGTTAAAGTTGATAGGGGCAAATATTTTGTTGTTATGATTTTGGTTTTTTCGGGGCACACCTGGCAATGCTCAGCTTTTCCTAGTTTGGTACTTGGGGGCTGCTCTCTGGTCGGTGCTCTGGGGCTCAAATTCAGGGCTCCAATACTGAAAATTTTCCTTTTTGTTCTTTTATTTTTTTATTTTGGGGCCACACCTGGCAGTGCTCTGGCTTACTCCTGGTTCTGCACTTTGGAATCATTCCTAATGGGCTTGGGGACCAAATGGGGTGCCGGGGATAGAAGCCAGGTCAACTGTGTGCAAGGCAAAATGTCCTACCCACTGTACTATCACTCTGGCCCAATACTGACAAATGTATAGCTAAATCATACCAATTATTGTACGCTGCTTCAGCAAGGCCTTCCTGGATCAGGTTCTGATTGCCTGGACAGTTCCAAGCTTTCTTCTCTGTTCTGTCAGCTCTCTGAATTTCCCTGCCTTCCTCCCCTCTCCTCAGTGTTTCAGAGCAGGCCCCAACTCACAGTACTCAGACTCCTGCTCTTCTCTTTATTGTTCACCCCTAGGGCAGTAAGGGCAGGGGAAAGTAGGTCCCCAGCACATCCCCAGCTGGCTACATTTTCCGTGGTCTGCCTTCTTCCTCCTTAGTTCTTCCAAGCTGCAGGGTTTCATCTGGAGAGAAGGGTCTGAGTTACTGGCTTCCTTGCAGGAAGCATGAGATCAGGTCCAGTCAGGCCTGACCACATTCAGATTCTCTAGAATATACCTTCCTAATCCCGCTCCTTCCTTGCTCTTGTCCTGCCTGGGCTCACATCCATGTAGGTTTGGGTCTGGTGAGTCTGTATAGCTTCCAGATACCCTTCAAGCTTTCTACATGTTACCTGTTCAGCCCCACCGAATACCAGCTATTGATACTGTCAGACACTAGCCAGGACCCACAGTTTTGGAGTACCTGGGAGAGTGTGGGTGGCAGAGGAGGGGGGAAGGAGATGCATAGGGATTGTTAAGAGGTCTAAGTAGAAAGGGGGATCCCAACTCCTTGAGTCTCCCTGTTCATCTCTTCACAGTGTGGGCCTTATAATCCAGGATATTCCATTACTGCTGAGCTATACTTTCTTTTCCTCCTTAAAGGAATGGGGGTTGAGGGAAAAGAGCTTGTTTAGAGTCAGGCCTCGTGATATAGTGCTGTGATGGTGTCACTGATTCATACAGAGAATTCTTAGTGGCTTTATGAAATGGGATTCTTGTGTCTTCCAGCAGAGGGATCTCAGTGTTTATGGGCTTCTAGAATAACTACCTAGGGCAAGCTTGAGGAGCCTGGACAAGTCATGGGGTCAGAGCTAGGCGTCAGGCTGCTGGTTCTCAGGCCTCCCCCCATCGGGCTGACCCAGCCCGCCTCTCACAGTCCTGCTGCTGATCTTCTATGTCGTCCTCAAACTCTGGGTAAGCACAGCATCGCAGGTATCTTCCTTTACTGTAGTACTCCTTGCGTTTCAGCTCAAACTCCTTCTGCGATAAGCCAGTGGCTAGCTCTTGGGACTGATTTCTGAAGGCAGAAGAATCTGAAGAGTCACCCATATCAATTTGAGTCTCCATCAATCCAACATCCAATGCACCTCCCCACCCCCACTGCCAGCCCCGCCAGTTTCACCCAGGGGAGAAACTTTAGTTCCAGATTTTCATCTGAAAGAGGGATTAAGCTTCTTCCATTTCAGAAAATATTCAGTGAACCTACAACCATCTTCCTGATTCTCTTAGACTGTTCTTTCTCACTAGCCAGCCGTCCCCAGGGACTATTATGAGGGGGCCCTTCCCCAGCTGCCCCCTATCTTCCCTAAGGTCACCTCCTAGCATTATCTTTCAGGCAGTCAGGCCCCAGGTTAATCAATGCACAGGGAGATAGACTTCTCTCTGGAGTCATAGAGAAGGCACCAGACTACATTCCCTTGAGTCCCTGAGGTTCCACTGTTACTAACCTTTGTTTTTTAGGATGTGATTCTTGGCAGCCAGGATTCCTCTGTCTCTGACTCCTCTGGTCAGTCCTCCTGTCCACTCTCTCTCCACGGACCTGGGCTCCGAGTCCTGACTCATCACAACCTGATTGCTACTGTCCACACTGACATTACTCTCGCTGCTCTTCTTACTGTCCAAGGGCAGATTTTTCGAAGCCCTGAAGAATTTTCCTTCATCATAGTGTGCCTTGCGGTGCTTCTCAAAATCACTGGAGTCTGGGGGCCAGTGGAAGAGCTTGACTTTCCCTCCAGGCTCTGGATGAAGGCCCACTCTGCCTCCCCTTTCCTTTCAGTATTCTACCCCTCAGCTCACATGTCTTAGCAAAGTTGTCTGTAGACTCTGGCTTTTTGTTGTCACCATACCGGAGGACCTTGGGGTAGAAATTGTCCATTGTGGCCAACCTGAAGAGAAGGGAGGCTAGTTGGGGACACTGAAAGGAGAGAATAACAGTGGGGATGGGTGGTGCATGGGGCCAACCTGGCTGCACCCCTGGCTGTGGTCAGGCCTGACAGGAATTGTATTAATGTCCCATTTGGGGAGGCAAAAAAAGCAGAACTAGGGGCTGAAAAAATAGTATAGCACATCTGGTAAGGTGTCTGCCTTGCATATGGCCAACCCAGGTTTGATCCCTGGCACCTCTATGATTTCCCCGAGTACTGCCAGGAATGATCCCTGAATGCAGAGTCAGGAGTAAGTCCTGAGCACTGCCAGGTGTAGTTAAAAAAAAAAAAAAAAGGAAAGAAAAGAAAAGAAAAAGCAGAGCTGGATTAGATTCAGAGTTTTCTGGATGGAATGAGGAGGAAGTTCTATTTCCCAGTTGATCTTTGGTAGGACTTTCACCTTTCTGTTAGCATCTCAGGAGTCAGTGGGCCGGAGGACTCCGGGGACAGGTCCTCATCACTGTCCGGCAACCTACAGAAGATGGAGGAAGCAGTATGAAGATCCTCAAGCAATATTTTATCCCTAAGGACTCCCTACTTCCTCTCTTTAGTCCCCCTTCTTCAAATGAGGACCAGTCCGGGTTGAAGGGCTAGGATTGAGGGCTCAGCACCTGTAGTAGGGGGTGCTGGGTTCATCCACCTTCTTATGTCCATAGCTCTTGTCAGGAGGGTGGTAGGTGGCCAGAATGTTCATTTCATCCCAGTGCTGATACTTCTTCCTGGAGTCAGGAGAGGACACAAAAAAGGGGGTAGAAAACCTCCTTTTCTCTTACTTCAATCATTCAAAACGTTTTTCTTGTACCGCTTGTACATAGGAGGCTGGGGATAGAGTCAAACGCAAATGCAGCCAGGATCCCAAAGGCCTGGAATCCTAGATTCCTCACCCAATAGCCGTCACCAACTCTCATTTCTACTTCTGAAGACTCCGCCTCTTCCCTCCTAGCTCTGCCCTTCCAGTATCTGAAACCGACCCTCGGGGCTCCCAGCTGCGCGCCCGCGGAGCCCGGCACCTTACCGCTCCTGAGTAGTGTCTCTAGACTTTGGGTTGGAACTGCTTTTAAGGATGCCCCGGATTTCACGAGATTTGGGGGGATACAGGCAAGATGTCCCAGAATGCGAACTGCATCCTGAGTTGTACACCCCAGTCGCTCCAGACCCTAGGCTCCACGTCCCAGAAACACTAGCTCCAGTAAAGGGTGGATTGTGTGCGCAGTTGGTGCAGGGTTCACGGTGGTGGCCTAGGGCTTCCCCAAGGCTCTGGTTGGACCCGGAGCTGAGGGCAGTTACTTCCACGAGGGACTGGCATGAAGTAGGACTGATTTCCTCAGAGTGCAGGGAAGACCCAGACTCTTGAACCAAGACTTCCCCGGAGGCCATCCCGGAGCCAGCGTCGACTAAATTGACGCTTCCGGGCACTCGCCGGGTTACTCCTGACTCTCCGCTAACGCCGCCAGCAGCTCCCTGAGATCTCGGCTTCTCCATGGCCCCACCGCAGGGTCAGTCCCAACCACCCCGCTCCGCTGCCCAGCTCCACATAGCCCCGCCTCTTGCCCGCCCCCACCGCGGGGGGCAGGAGACCCTTGGAAGAGGCCTGGAGCCTTTCTCCCCTCTGCTTTCCAGAGCAGCGTTGGGCGGAAGCCGGACCCGAGAGAAGTCCCGGCTGGGAGCCCCGCTGCCCGCCCCTCCCTTGCCCACCAGAGATCTTTCTTTGTCTACGGGGTTTGTTCCCGCCCTTCCCCCATCACGCCCTCATCCGAATTAGCCAATCGCGGACTGAGGTCCCGGTCAGCGACGGGCCGCAACTGTTCGGTCACAATTCTCCAACCTCAGCCTGAGTCCTGGGGAGCTGGGCTGGCGTGTACCATAGGTCGCGGGGAGCTTTGGGGTTAACGCCACCGCTTGAAACTGCTGCCCGCGTTTCTTTGTACTCCTTATTCACGGGTTTCGAATCTAAGACGTTCCTTGGGGCTGGGGTTCAGGGTGCGCTTGAGTCATCTCTCCCCTAAAAGTTGGCCTGTTTTTCCTCTCACGAGGTGTGACAGAAAGGGTTGCTACACTGGGGCCGCAGGACTCAGGCGTAAAAAGCAGACGTGAGGCTACCAGATCCCTCCGTCTAGGTCCTTCCGGCCCTCTCGCACCCTGTAAAACGTGTAGTGAGGGGGCCGGAGCGATAGTCCAGCTGGGAGGAATGGCCCCGCGAGTCCGCCAGGAGTGACTCCCGTGTGAAAAGTCGGGAAGAGCCCCTGAACGCCGCTGGGTGTGGCCCCAAAACGAAACGCTAAATAAACGTGTAGCGCGAAGGCAAGACACCGCCTCCGTTCAGAAAGCAAACGCTAGAAGGCGTCGCTTGCCCCCGCGAGGGCGGGGCCGTCGGTGCTGCTGTCGCAAAGCCGAAGCTGTCGTAAAGATGCCTGCGGGTGTCGTTTCTCTCACTGTCGCAAAAGCTCCCTGCCCAAGTTTCTCACTCTCAGGGCCACCCCGTCGCCTAGCCTTGCCGTAAAGCAAAGCTTCCGACCCCGTCGTCCTTCTTTCCCCTCGGCGGTAGCCCTTAGTTTCCTACCCCGGGAAGCTTCCTTGCTCGGCAGTGCCGTAAAGCAAATCAGGCCCCAGCCCCCGTTCCTGTTCCCTCAGGGCGTCCGCGCACCGCGGTTGCCACGGTGCCGCCAAGCACGGCTGTCGCGCGGCCCCGGTGTCGGCGGCGATGGCGGCGGGGTCGGGTGGGAGTGGGGGCTCTGGGGGAGGCCCCGGGCCGGGCCCGGGCGGGGGCGGGGGCCCGGGCGGGAGCGGCCCAGGACCAGGGTCCAGCGGGGGCTTGGGCGGCGGCGGGGAGCTGCACCCGCGCACCGGGCGCTTGGTGAGCCTGTCGGCCTGTGGGCGCACGGCGCGGCGGCAGCAGCCAGGCCAGGAGTTTAACCACGGGCTGGTGCTAAGCCGGGAACCCTTGCGGGATGGACGCGTCTTCACCGTCCGCATCGACCGCAAGGTGCGGAGCTGGGGCTGTGGAACCGAGATGAGGGCGGTGGGAGGGCACCGAAAGGAGCCGCAGTAGGACAGTTAGGGTGGCCGGCATCACTGGGTACCGACAGGGAACCGACAGACCGAGGCTGCGAGGTGCCCGGAAGGAAGGGAGTATGAAATCGAGAAAATGCTCAGTCCAAAGGGAGATGAGAACGCCTTGAGGTCCCTCCGGACCCGGGACAGAGGAGGCTTGGGGCATCACCACTAGGATGACTAGTGAGTGCATCTCCTGGAACGGTTTCTAGCATGTGGCAGATGGAGATGTTAGATGTGTGGTGGGAACAGAAAACAAAGGGAAGAAACCTCTGAACTAGAGTTTTGGGGTTGAACTAAAAGGATGGATGAGCAGAGGTGCTCAGCTGCCAGAGTGCTTGTATGTGAAGAGGCCAGGTCCTTGGAGCTGGAATTTGGGAGGAGAGCAAATCCGAGGAACCAGAGCTAGGGAGGATGGGACAGGAGATGAGCGAGATTTCCCTTCAAGAGTGTGGGGATTGTTTGTGGAGAGCTGTGCATTTGGGGGAACTGAAGGGGCAGAGAGCAGAGAGGTGATAGAAGGCAGGAGTTGGAGTTAGGTGATCTCACCAGCATCCAGAATGTACCTTTGGGGATTAGGGGCTGACATTTCAAGATAAAAGCCAGTTAGCTCAGAAAGGTGGGGAAGGGTGGTGCGGTGGCCTGTGAAATGTGGTTTCCTAGTGGTGGGAGACCTGCTTGTGGCCCATCTGAGCCTCTGTCCACCGCCCCTATCACAGGTCAACTCCTGGAGTGGCTCCATTGAAATTGGGGTGACGGCACTGGACCCCAGTGTGTTGGACTTCCCAAGCAGCGCCACAGGGCTGAAGGGGGGCTCATGGGTAGTGTCGGGCTGCTCAGTGCTGAGGGATGGACGTTCTGTGCTGGAGGAGTATGGTCAGGACCTGGACCAGCTTGGCGAAGGGGACCGTGTGGGTGTGGAGCGCACAATTGCAGGGGAGCTAAGGCTCTGGGTGAATGGGCGGGATTGCGGTGTGGCCGCCGCTGGCCTGCCTGCTCGTGTCTGGGCCGTCGTGGACCTTTATGGCAAATGTACCCAGATCACAGTGCTGCCCCCTGAGCCAGGCTTCAGCCCCCCTACTCCCACCCCCACACCTCCCCTCGAGCCTTCTGCCCCCCCTGAAGACTCTGCATTGGCCGAACAGGGGACCTCTGGGGATGAAGGTGAGAACACAGCAAAGGCAGTGGGGGAGGGTGGGTCAGAGGCATGTGTGAAGGAATGGGGGGAATGGAGTACCGATTGGCTCTGGGTATGGGCAGGGCCACCCAGACCCCTGAATCTGATGAAGGGGTTTGGGTCTGCAACGATAGTACAATGAATAAGGAGCTGGCCTTGCATGCAGCCGACGCGGCAAGCTCCTGATCCCTGACATCCCACATGGCCCTCTGTGCACCCCCAGGAGTAATTCCTGAGTACAGAGCCAGGAGTAAGCCTGAGCATCACCAGGTGTGAGCCAACCCCCCTCAAAAAACAATAGGGAATTTCCTGACTGAAGGACCAACACCAGGGACTGAACCTTTATTCCCCTCCCATTTTTTCCTGTTTCCCAGCCTTCATGGTATCCCCAGTGCAGATCCTACCAGAGATGTTTCCTGACAAAGTTGATTGAATAATGGTGAAGGCATCCGAAGGCCTGGGAAGGGGGGGGGAGTGAGGCGGACATAGAGGGACATTATTTGGGGGCTAGGGGGGAGAGAATGGCAAGCCTGAGGGTGTAGAACCTCATTTCAGCTTTCTTCATTCTGCTGCTGTAGATTTTGCCAGCATGGAGTTATCAGAGGTGGTGAGCAATGCCATCCTCTCTGCCTACAATGGGGGTCTCTTAAATGTGAACCTGAGCTCCCCACCAGCGCAAGAAGGACTGGGTCCTAGTGGTGCTGCCACCTCGCCCATCCTCACTTCCAACGACGCCCTGCTCTTTCATGAGAAGTGTGGGACTCTCATCAAACTCAGCAACAACAATAAGACAGCTGAGCGCCGCCGACCCCTGGATGAATTTAACAACGGGGTTGTCATGACTAACCGCCCACTTCGGGATAATGAGATGTTTGAGGTGTGCAGATCCTGGGGTCTGGCTGATACCTCATCCTCTGGCAGCTAAAAATGGGGATCCTTGATACTGGAAGGGTGGGACCTGGTGTGGGGAGACAAAGCCTAATGGTCCATTCTCTGCATTTACATTCTTATTTTTTCCTCTTCCCGCCAAGATCCGCATTGACAAGCTTGTAGATAAGTGGTCAGGCTCCATTGAGATTGGTGTCACCACACACAACCCCAATAATTTGGAATATCCAGCCACCATGACCAACCTCCAGTCAGGTAACAGTCCCTGACAGGGTGACGGATTCTGTGGTTGGGGAAGTCCCTTCCCTAACCAGAATGGCTGCTTTCTCCAGGTACCATCATGATGAGCGGATGTGGAATCCTGACCAATGGCAAGGGAACCCGCCGGGAGTACTGTGAATTCAGCCTGGATGAGCTGCAGGTGAGGGCTGACTCACAGCTCAAGCCATTCTCCTGGGGAACCTCCCGTACTCTTATCCCTGCCTGGGAGCTTCTGTTCCCCTCATGACCGCAAGCAAGTCCCGCTATCTTTTGCTTGAAGATTTCTTTTTTTGGAGGGTGGGGTTGAGAGGCGTACCTGGCAATGTTCAGGATTTACCCCTGCCTCTGTACTCAGTAATCACCCCTAGCAGTGTGTGGGGGACCATATGGCATGCTGGGGATTGAACACAGGTTGGCTGTGTGCAAGGCAAATGCCCTTTCTGCTATCATGTTGCTCTGGCCCTTAAGATTCCTTCTGAGAATGCAGAGTTGATCAACTCTTAGGCACTCAGATTTTGGAATCATCTAGTTTCAATTCCTCCTGCTGTTTTGACATAGCAATGATTTTGGTAGTTTTTCTTCTATTATCTAAAATGAACCTATTAGTAATAGATATTAATAGATTTACGGATAACATAAGGTTATATAATCTGTTATTTAGAGATAATGCTTGAATTGCATTGAGCATTCTGGAAGGTCTGAGACTCATAGGATCCTTTGTAGTTGTTCCCTTGTGGGAAGGGCTGATGGGAAGGCTAGAGGACTACTCTGCTCTCCTGGCCCCAGGACGAGTCAGGAACTTGATTCAGTGGATGGATTCTAGACTGGTGTTTTTCTTTTTGAGTAGGAGGGGGACCACATTGGTCTCACGAGGAAGTCTAATTCTGCTCTACACTTCTTTATTAATGGCATCGATCAGGGTAAGGGCCTTGAGCCAGGGCTTTTGTTGTTGTTGTGTGTATTGGGGGGAGGAGTTCTTACCACATTTTCCTGCATCTCTTGAAGTTTGGCCTCCCTATATTTGACTTTTCTCCCTTCTGCTCCCTGTGCCTTTTGTATCCACAGGTGTGGCTACCCCATTGACGCCCCCAGTGGTATATGGTGTGGTGGACTTATATGGGATGGCAGTGAAGGTGACCATTGTGCATAATAACAACCACAGTGACCGTC